TCTGCTGAGCCAGTGTGTCGTAGAGAGGGTGTGAGACATTGTCCAAGATAGACTGAAGCCTGGACAGCATCCTCCTCTCTGCATCACTCCTAATGATTTAAAACTGAATTAAATGTAAAGTTGTAGCCAAAAAATAACAATAACAATAAAGCTGCAAGATTAAATCATTTTATCCCCATTCAAGGGCTAAACCCGAAAAGTTAGAGCTCAGAAAGAAGTAGTAATCTGGGTAATTTCTTTACAGCGAGAAGTGGCTTTGTTTTGGCTTCATGTGCTACTGAGCAGCTTTCAGAGGAATAGGAGCGCCGCCTCCAATGCAGCTTTCTTTATATATCCATGTTTAAATTGGGAAGTAGGGATGTCATGAGAACCGACCAAGCCGATGCCAGCAGTGAACGCCTCAGCTGATGCCGATGTCATTTGGTACCACGTTGGTTTAGATCATTTCGATAGGCTACGTCTTTCGCAATCAGACTCGTCCACACGCAGCTCACCTGTTGTTGTTTATAAAACTTACTGCTGAAGAAAGTCAACAGAGACACAAACTATCCAACCCTGTTGAAAGCAGCTATGTCAAACAACTTGCATTCACTGATTGTTCTACGTTTTCATGCCATAAATGTTTTTCTCTTGCAGCTAAGGATTTCTGCAGTTTTAGGTTTAGTCACAAAAGCTTTTGTTTTCTTTTGTTTTGGATTGTCCGAATATCTCAGCAGGCTGACGTGATCCCAAAAAACTGTTGGTATTGTGGATTTTTCTACTTCCACTGTCAAATCATACATTAATATTTTGGTAGTTTGCAGATTTGACTGATTGTAACGTAGTCAGAGAGTTCAGAGTTCTTGCATTTTAAAGCAACCATTTGCTTGGTTGTTGCACTCCTGTACTTCCTGCGCAGGATGATGAAGTTTGACTGAGGCTTGTTGTTGTTTCAGAGCCCAGTGACCGGCCCTGTCGCCTCTACCACATCAGGACCTTTGGGGAGCCTGTGGAGCTAATCTGGGTGGAGGAGAAATCAACCCACACCTTCCATGGAGGCTTTGAATTCGAACAGCTCCCCCTGCTACGCCGGAGGGGGAAGCAAAGGGAGCAGAACTACAAATACACTGTAATTACTACTTTATGGATAATTAATCCCTAATAAAACGTTGGTCTTGGTTCGCATCTCCTTGAAACATTGTGAACAAATTCTTCTGTGAATTAATATGTGAGCAAAGATTGATCCGTGTTTGCTTTTGTCTTTCTGCAGATTGCAAAGCGTTTTCAGAGCTCTTGGAAATCCAGTGTAGCAGAAGCTGAATCTGTTCTCCCAGACAGACCCAAAATGGCTTCCTCCATTTCTTCGTCCATAGACGATGCCTTCCACGACAGTTCAACGCCGGAGAGAGTGAACAAGACCCATCCAACCTTTCCTTCCTCTACTTCACCCACTCTTCCTGAGACATCGCACATGACTAATGGATTGGTTTTATCCCCAGTACTTTCATCCCCAGTAACAACTCCAACAAAGCCAAGCACTTTAAGGAAATCTTCTGGCAAGAAGAAACTAAGTAAATCGTCAAAGGACTTGAATAGTAAACACTCCAAAAAGGCGTTGTGTGATAGCCCTGACCAGTCAGATAGAGACAATGGAGAGTGCCCATATTCTGACATTGACTCAGTCCCGAAGATTTTGTGTCCTAAAGCACTTGAACGTCAGTCTAAGCTTGTCCTGACTCAACCGTCTGTTACAGTTGTCAAAGAGGCAAAGAAGCAGCCAGAGATTCAGAGCGGTCTTTGGTTCAGTAAGTCAGGCAAAGACAGACGCCCTAAAACGACCAGTCCGATGCCAGACCGCACTCTCTTCAGTAAGGTGCCCTGTAAAAAAAAGAACTCATCTGTAAGTAAAAAGACGCTCGTTCCTAGTGCTTCCTCCAGTGGTGGGCACAATGACCAGTCAGGGTTGTCGGACAAGCATAAGACTCTGGTACCTCCTGAAACAATTCTGCCCCCTGAACAATCAGGACATTTGAAGTGTAAAGACACCCCGGTTGCTAATAGACCTTTTGGTACAACTGGCAGTCCTGCTGACCAGTCAGGATTGTCAGACAGACAGAAGGTCTCTGTTGAGACTGCTGTACTCTCTGACAAGTGTCAAGATTCAAAGAGACAGACAGCCAGTAATACCACTGGCACTGACCAGTCAGGTAGCTTAGATGTAAAAAAGGCCTCAGAGCCCAGTTTCAGTGACCAAACCAGGTTTTCAGAGAGAGTAAGGAGTGTCAGTCGAACTGAACATTCAGACATTACGGCTAATAAAAAGGTCTATGTGATTGACAGGATTTCTCACCAAGCTGAAGAAAAAGAAAGCAACAAGACTTCAGTTTCTAGTTCCAGTGTTAACACTACTGACTCATTATCAAGGCTAGAAAAGCAAACAAGTCTAGTCTCTAAGTATAGGCTGCCTTTTGTCAAATTAATACGCAAGGACATAAAAGGTCCCAAGGACCAACTTGCATGTACAAAAAGGAATGAAAAAGATACTAATGCAACTAAAATGTCCTCAAAACAATCAGATTGCGTGGACAGGAAGGCGAGCGTCTCCATAGATCAGGTATCGGTCATTTCTTCAGAATCCATAAAGGTCTCAGTTAAGAAGTTAAAAGCAAGATGTGGGACTGGTATTCTTCGTCTCTCATCAGAATCATCACAAGGTAAAACTATCGTTGCCTCCGATGTGGTGAGTGTGTCTGATGAGTTAGGTGGTCCAGAAGCGGAAAGGATACCAGTTTTAATTGTGCACAGTGAGAGCAATGAGACGTCCTCGAACCAATCAGACCGGTCAGAAGGTAAGACGACTTCTGCCTCAGATGTAACAAGCACGTCGTCTGAGCAGTTAGGAAGCTCGAAGCCAAAACCTACGACGGTGACTAGTACAGTAGTTAATACAACTCTGCTGCCTTCTCAACGGCATGGGAATTTAGCCTGTAAGAACCTGCCCGAAGGCCTGTCTTCTGAGAAGTCCAAGAAAGTTGTCCACAAATCAAAGCAGATTGCAGAGAAAGTGAATAAACTACTACTTGAGCAGCCCGCCCACCTCCCGGCCAGCAGCCGGCTGATGACCCGAGCCCTGAAGGCACTGCAAGAGGCGGACCAGAAGAAGCGTGAAAGAGTCCGAAAGGAGGCCGAGCAGAAAGAACTTCTAAATCCACAAAGTAAAGATGAGTCCACTTGGAATCCGGAGGCCAAACGGAATTTATGCACTAAAGTAAAATCTCATTGTAATAACAATGGCGAGTATGATCAGGACACCTTTTCTAGCTGTAGCACCTCACCTTTGATTTTCTCGGATTCAACTGACTTTGAAGCTGACGTCAAGAGCGAAGATGAAGACCTGTCAATATCCTCAACTCCACCAATGGACTTTATACCTCTTACTTCCAGGGTAAAGGCAAAGAAGGAAGATCATTCCTCTGACATATGCACC